ATTATTTGCACTATTTCTCTAACAAGCTGTGCATCACTCATATGAACTGAGAGAAATTCTGTATAACCAACGCGGTGCCATGATTGAGATGAAGAAGGAAAAGAGACACAAAGTGCGTATGTTTAATTGTTTGGTAGAGTTAAAATGGCTTAGGAGGGGATTATGTTTCTCCAGTTTTATAATGAGATGACAGCTACCAGTTAATTGATTGGCCCCATTTCTTGCAATTGTTGATCCTGGAAAAGAGAAAAAAAAGAAGATACGTGATCACTTTCCTTTTGATTTTTTCCATCTAATTTCTTCCTTTCATATTTCAAAATTGTGTTATTACCAAATTTCATAATTGTGAAATTTTCTTTCAGTACTTTAATTTGAATAGTCCCATTTGCTTTCATAGATAGAAGTCAAAATTTCACGAAAATATCAGATGAGAGTTCCATGTTGTTTTGTTACTTTATCTGAATGGTCCCATTTGCATTCCTATGGAGATCAAAATTTCACTAAAATAATCGAATGAAAATTCCATGTTGTTTCGTTATCTTATCTGAATGGTCCCATTTGCATTCATGTGGGGGTCAAAATGTCATTAAAATAATCGAATGAAACTTCCATGTTGTAAGGGCAGGTCTGAGGTGCTCAACCTCGGACGTACGGCAGTAATTCTTTTACAACCGAAGTAAGGAATAAATCCAGAGCTTCCCGCTCGAACAGCAGCATAATAGTTACGATGGACATCCTCACATCAAATCCCGAATATCCTGCTTGGCTCAATCTTTGGGTCCCAAAATAACTGCTTGGAGATACGCATCAAATCCCGAAATAACTGCCTGGAGATACACATCAGATACCGAATATTTTGCTTGGCATGCCACGTGGTTTCTTTATGGGAACATATAAATACCCCTCAAGGGCCACGCCAAAAAGGTAATTGAAACCAACCCTAAGCTCCTTGTTTCTCCGCTCTAAAGGTAACCCCGATTATTGCTGACTTAAGCATCGGAGTGTCTATCCCGAGGATCCACCTCGGGGCTTTGCAAGTCAATCCAGGGTGCAGATACAGACTGAAGGAGGACTTCCGGTTTGGTGCAGTTACATTTTGGCGCCGTCTGTGGGAATCTGAACTAAAGGCTCCCTTGTTGCTCTTATCATGGTTAAAACTAGGTCAGCATGAGGTGGAAACTCGTCTCAGCCTCTTGGACGAGGTCAGGTCCCCAGCAACCTTCCACCTCATCCCCCACTCCCAATCCCAAATACGTTCCCTCCTGTCGATCATGCAGAAGGAGAAGACGAAAATCAACCACACAATTCGGTTCACAACTTAGCCTCTACTGCTAACCAAGGCGTAGTTGCAACTCAGCTCGTTGCCATGCAATAGCAGTTTGGTGTCTTTCAGTTAGTACTGGCACAGCTATTAGCTCGGAATAATCTTGGTGATCCACTCATTAACCTACTTAGTCCTGCTCCACAACCTCCAGCCCCACCACAAAATCCTGAACCAGTTCCACATACCCCTGCTATTAGTGAATCTCAGGGCCAATCTCACTTCGCGCCAGTTCAGCAACCCCTTCATGGTGATGTCACTCGACGTCTAGATAGCTTAGAAAAGCTAGTGGTTGAACAGCGAGGTGCCCCACCCCCGCACCCTGCTGCTGACTCCGTACCCCACCATCTCAACACCAATATTATGCTGGAACCCTATCCCGTTGGCTTCAAAATACCACAGCTTGAAACTTATGATGGGATGAAGGACCCCGATGATCATTTACACGCTTTCTACTCTTGCATGCAGGCCTAGAACACCTCTGATGCGTTGATGTGCAAAATCTTTCCCTCTACCCTCCAAGGTAATGCTCGAACCTGGTACTACAGTCTGCCTTCGAGGTCAATCAACTCTTATAAAGAAATGGAATCTGCTTTTGCCACAAAGTTTTCCAGTAGAAGGTTGATCAGGAAAACCACTTCTGAACTGATGCGAGTTAAGCAGAGGGACGAAGAGTCTTTGAAGAATTTTATGAGCAGATTTAATGATGCAGTGCTTGAGGTTAACTCTTTCGACCAAGCTGTGGGAATCATAGCTGTGATCTCAGGTCTTAGCCATGAAAGATTCCGAGATAGTTTGCTTAAACATCTTGCCAACACCTTCAGCGAGGTAAATGATAGATCGTTGAAATTCATAACTGCTGAGGAATATGCCCTATCGCAGAACCTAGCTCCTATTAAGAGCCAACACCCGGACTGGAGAGATGAGAATCCGAACAGGAAACGGATGAAGACAACACATAACCGAGGTCCGATGTCGACTTCCACCCCGAGATTCGGAAGGCCGAACTCAGCACCTCCGCAACAACCTGCAGGTAAACCTCCAGTTAATTGGACTCCTTTTAATTTACCGAGGTCACAAATCTTTATGCAGATTAAGAATAAGATGGACTTAAGACGTCCGGGTCCAATGAGAACTGCTGCTGCTACCAGAGACCATACCAGGTATTGTGATTTTCATCAAGATCACGGTCATACAACAGAACAATGCAATAGTTTGAGGTCCGAGCTGGAAAGTCTGGCGCAGAAAGGAATGTTGAATGAGTACATCCAGAGAGTTGAATAACCACGGTTTGTCAGGGAATAAGGGACACAGCATCAAGGAGTCCGCAATCCCCCAAACAGGCAAGGTGTGGGATATCAGCAAGCCCCACCCCCACTCCCCCCACCAGCTAGAGTCATACACATGATTACGGGAGGTCTGGAAGCAGGAGGACTGAGCTCTAAGCAGCGAAAGTTGTATGTCAGAGAGGTTAAGCACCAGAACTGAGCTCAGAAGCGAAAATTTGACGATGCTGAATGGAAGAATCAACCCATCACTTTCACATTTGCTGATCTCGAAACAGTTGTCACACCTCACACACTTCTGTCACGATCAACAATTGTGAGGTGCAGCGTGTCCTGGTTGACACAGGGAGTGCACCAGACATCATGTACTTCCATTGTTTTGAAAGTCTTAGGTTAGATCCAGCTCTGTTGCAGCGGTATGATGGTCCCATTTATGGGTTCAACAACCAACCAGTTCCAGTTGAAGGAGTCCTCACCATGAATGTTGCATTTGGCAGTGGCCGAAGTTATGTGACCCCTTCAGTCAGGTTTCTGGTAGTCAAGATGGCGTCCTCATTCAATGTCGTCATTGGTCGACCCACACTGACTGAAATCCGAGCTGTGGTTTCCCAATCTCACCTATGCATGAAGTTCCCCACTCCTACGGGAATAGCAACGCTGCGAGGCAATCAGGAGGTGGCCCGACATTACTATATCACCTCGGTAACACAACCCCAGAAGGGCAAGGCTCAGACACCCGAGTTTAATCCCAAACAGGTTCTTGATGATCGGCAAGTTATGGGTGTTGAGATAGTCGATAACCGACCAGAAGATGAAACCAGAGCTGCTCCAGTCGAAGATGTGGAAGAGGTACAGATTGATGACAGAGATCCGAGCCGAAAAACGCAAATTGGGACTAAATTGAATCCGGAGGAAAGAGCAGAGCTAATATCTTTTCTTCGGGCCAATAAAGATGTTTTTGCATGGACTTCAGCAGATATGCCAGGAATTCCCACTTCAGTTTTTCAACATAAACTCAGCACCAATCCCCTTAAGAAACCCGTAGCCCAGAAGCGACACCTCTTCGGGGGGGAGAGGTTAAAGGTTATTAAAGAAGAGGTCGAGAAACTCCTACAAGCCGGCTTTATCAGAAGGGTAGATTACTGTGAGTGGGTCGCCAATCCGGTGTTGGTGAAAAAAGCGAACGGCAAGTGGCGGATGTGCATTGATTACACTAACCTTAACGACGCATGTCCAAAGGACTGCTATCCAATGCCAAACATTAATAAGCTGGTTGAGGCAACTTCGGGAAATGAGAGATTAAGTCTCTTGGATGCATACTCAGGCTACCACCAGGTCCCAATGGCTCCTGAGGATGAAAAAAAAACCTCGTTCTATGCTGGCGATGAGATCTACTGCTATGTAATGATGCCTTTCGGCTTGAAGAACGCAGGAGCCACTTACCAGAAGATGGTTACCATCGTATTCCGAGCCCAGATACCATCATATTCCGAGCCCAGATAGGACGAAATCTGGAAGTTTATGTTGATGATATAGTGGTAAAGAGTTTGAAAGCTGACGATCACTTAACCGACCTTGAGGAGACATTCAACAATCTCAGACAGAATAGAATGAGGTTAAACCCAGCCAAATGCATCTTTGGTGTGGAGTTTGGAAAATTCTTGGGTTTCATGGTTTCCCGAAGAGGGATTGAGGTCAACCCAGAAAAGATCAGAGCAATTGCCGAGATGGAACCGTCGAAGTCAGTAAAGGATATACAGAGGTTGACTGGAAGGGTAGCAGCTCCTCATCGGTTCATATCGAAGTCAGCAGATAAGTGCCTACCGTTTTTCAAGATTATGCGGTCAGCTGCCCAGAAGGATGAATTGGGTAAACAGAAGAAGTTTGAGTGGACTCAAGAATGCTAGGCCACATTCGACGAGCTAAAGTCTTATCTTAGCTCACCACCTTTACTGACTAAAGCCAAAGATGGAGAAATCCTCTATTTATATCTGGGAATTTCAGATGAAGCCATTAGTTCGGTTCTAGTAAGAGAAGAAGCCAAGCAGCAGAAACCAATATATTATATCAGTAGTGTGCTGCATGAAGCTGAGCTGAGGTATCCTATAGCTGAGAAAGCAGCCTTAGCAGTTGTCACTTCGACCAGAAAGTTGAGGCCATATTTCTAGTCGCACCCGATCATTATTCTTACAGACCAACCCCTTCGGCAGATTCTGCAAAAGCCTGAGTGTTCTAGAAGATTAATTAAGTGGGCAGTAGAACTGGGGGAATTTGAGATAACATTTCAGCAGAGATCTGCAATCCGAGCTCAGGCACTGGCAGATTTTATTGTAGAGTGCACTCCAGGCAATTCCATTCCTACTCCAAAGCTCAATGACTGGACCTTATATGTTGATAGGGCATCTAGTAGCAAAGGTTCAGGAGCTGGTGCTCTCTTGATCGACCCAGATGGATACCGAAGTGAACATGCCTTGAAATTTAACTTCAATGCAACAAACAACATGGTGAGTATGAAGCCCTGCTACTGGGCTTGCAGCTAGCATTGGAATTAAAACTCAGTACGATCCAAGTATACAATGACTCCCAGCTGGTGGTGAACCAAATTAACTCAATCTGTGAAGTTGTTGATCTTGTGATGGTGAAATATGTAGCTATGGTGGCCGAGCTGAAGTGCAAATTTCAGAAATTCTGTCTGAGCAAAATCCCTCGAACTGAGAATGAACAGGCAAATTCACTCTCTAAATTCGCCTCTGATAGTTCTTCACAGTCCAGATCAGTTTTCGTGGAGGTCTTAGATGAACCAAGCTTCATGAAGCCACCGGTGATGGAGATCAGCACCGACCCAGACACACCGAGCTGGACTGATCCAATCCTCTCCTTCTTACGAGACGGAATAGTACCTGAGAACAGGCAGGAGGCAATGAAGTTGAGGAGGAAAGCATCTCGGTATACACTTGTTGATGGGGTCCTCTATAAGCGATCTTTCTCTCTACCTCTTCTACGGTGTTTAAGTCCCTATGAAGCGGAGTATGCACTTCGCGAAGTACATGAAGGTGTCTGTGGAAGTCACATAGGTGCTAGAACTCTGGCTCACAAAGTCTTAAGGCAGGGATATTACTGGCCGAACATGTACAAAGATACCACTTACTTTGTTCAGAAATGCTTGAAATGCCAGTTCTTTGCGCACCTAACTCACCAGCCTGCAGAAGAGCTCACTACGCTGGTAGCACCATGGCCATTTGCTCAGTGGGGATTGGATCTTTTGGGCCCATTCATGAAAGGGGTTGGTGGTGTAACCCACCTGGTTGTTGGTGTAGATTATTTCACAAAATGGGTTGAAGCTCGGCCATTATCCAGTCTTACTTCTAAGAAGGTCGAAGACTTTGTTTTCAGCTCAATCATTTGCAGATATGGGATCCCGAATCAGATTATGGCTGATAATGGAACTCAATTTAACTGCACCTCTTTTTGAGATTTCTGTTCCAGCTACGGGATTAAACTGCAGTTCACCTTGGTTTACCATCCGAAGTCCAATGGCATGGTCGAATCTGTTAACAAGTGCATCTTAGAAGGTATAAAGCCGAGGTTGGAACAACACAAGGCCAAATGGGCAGACGAGCTCAACAACGTCCTCTGGGCATACAGAACCACGAGCCGAACTGCCACAGGTATCGTTTCAAACCAGGTCTATTTGATTACTTTTTACATTACTTTACTTCTTCTGCTACGGCTTTACCTTAGAGAAAATATACATAACGCATAAAGCGCATTCTAAAGTTATAATTAATTGAAATAGGAGAAACACCTTATCATCTGGCCTTTGGTACCGAAGCAGTCATTCCTGTCGAGATAGGAGTTCCAAGCTTCAGGGTCACTCATTTCGATGAAAGACGAAATGGACAACTGTTTCGGGAGAACCTTGATCTGCTTGAAGACGTTAGAGAAGAAGCACGACTTCGAACTCTAGTCTACAAGTAGAAAATAGCAAACTTCTACAACAAACGAGTTCGACCCCGAACATTCAAAGTAGGAGACCTTGTTCTCAGAAAAGCAGGACTGACAGGGTTTGAAACTCGATTCGAAAAATTAGCACCAAACTGGGAAGGCCCCTACACTGTCGCCGAAGTGCCGCACCCAGGTGCTTATATCCTACGGGACACTGAAGGCAAAAGGGTTCCCAGAGTCTGGAATATCAATAATTTGAAGAAATTTTACCCCTAATGCATCTCTTTCCAGTAAACGTTGTCTCATTTTTATATTCGTTGTTATTCTATATGTGTTCGAACTCAATTCATTTATCTCAATAATGAGCGTCACTTCACATTTGAAGTGATTCAGTTCTTTCTACCCTTCTATAAGTTCGAAGTAAATTTCAATTATTTTCGAAGTTAGCTCATTATGACTTATTCTTTAGGATAACAATTTGGTTAATCAGTTACATTTTACTTTTGAAGTGCTTTACTTCATTTGTCTACTTGAGGTCTGCCTCATCCAAAGTCAATTCCCTTGACTGTTCATTTTATGATGACCGAAGTCAGATCCTTGCGTTGGATGAAGTCAACTCGTTTTACCCGAAGTGATTTGCTCGAAACAAAAAACAGCAAACAAATATTAAAATGTGCAACTCACAAATAACTTAAAAAATTTTCATAAATTTGTAGAAGTCACTTACAAAATTGTCATCACTTACAAACACAACTACCAAAAACAAAACAAAAAATCCTAGGCTAATCTGCTAAGGGAGGAGGCTGCTCCTCAGCAGGAGGAGGCAGTGGAGGTGGCTCGTCTCCAGCAGGTAGGGGTGGCACTTCTGCTTCAAGAGGGGCCAGCGCCTGCACTTCGTCAGACGAGACTGGATGCACCTCAAGAGGCTGCACTTCGGCTAGAGCTACCTGATCCTCAACTCCGGTGCCTTGCGCTTCTCCTTCTTCTTCTTCTTCTTCTTCTTCTTCTCCCTCCACGGCCACCAACTCAGAGTCAAAGGCTGGAGGAAAAATGGTGCGCCCCTCTGCATCACGCTCCCACCTCAGCGTGATCTGAGGTCGGAAGTCAACACAGAGGCTCTCCCCATCTTCCTCCACCCCTTCTTTTTGTTCCCCAAAGGTAATTGTTGTCACGTCCACCTCTGGGTACTGGGCCTTCACCTTCTTTCTACAGTCGGTGAAGGCCACGATTGCGGTTGGCAGCCGGTAGAGTTTGAGGATGTCCTCGAAGGTGCTGGAGTTGAGGAAGTTGCCAATGTGCTCCTCCATCCCGTTGTGAACCAGCAGGTTCACGTTCTTCTTCAGCTCCGCTGCTCCTTTCCTCATGTTGTCCATGTATTTGTCCTGAGCCTCGAGCTTCTCCTCACAGATCTTCCTCTTACGTTCTTCGAGGACAAGCTTCGTGCTCAGGACATCATCTCGTTCTGGAGCTCGGTCACTAAAGGGAGAACTTCATCCAGCCTCCTCTGCATCTCCCTCTTCTGCTTCTCCCATTCCCCCTTCTCCTTCTACAGCTCATCCTTCTCCTTCTGCAACTACTCGCACTGCCTTTGCAAGCTGGCACGATCTCTCACGCTCTCTGCATACTCCTGCGCTAGAGCGTTTGTCCAGCTCGCACTCTACAATGCAATCAGAAGTCAGACATCAGATACAGAGGTCAAAAAACTTTATTTAACACAAACAACCGGAGTAAATTCCAACTATTTCGCATACCTCTAGGGCGTGCCTCACAACGGTATATCCCATATGACTAATCACCTCGTCCTTCGCCTGCATCCTATCCCCCTCAGGAAGAGTAGCGTTGAGGAAGTGCTTCGCCCCAGTCGTGTTTGTTGCTTCGAATAAACTCTTCTGGAATGAAGGTTGAGGAAAGGGCCCTTTGCCTCGGCCAAGACCTCGTACCACGGCCTCCTCCCTCTCCCTGTCTTCAAGATTGATTTCTGGAGGAGAAGGTCAGGGCACGAACTCCACCACCTCGTCCCCCCTAGTTTCTAGCTTTGCCACCCTCCTCTTCTTCCTCTGGAGCGGTGCCACCTCCTCACTTACATCCTCGCTACCCCCCATCACAGGCTCCGGCCTTGGCTGCACCCCCACAGCCCGGGCAGAAGTGCTGGGCAGGCGCTCTCTCTCGGGCACCCCTCTATTCGCCGCAACTGAAGTCGTTAACTTCTTCCTTGGCTTCTTTGGGATGCGCAGTCCCCCAGCAGCATTTGTAAACTCGTCCATCTCAGCTGCAAAACAAGCACAAAGGTCAAAACACACCAACTAAGATCTAACTAACATAGCACAGTATAAACATACACAAACCTTCGCTCAATGAGCTTGGTCCATAGAGCTCAGCAGCCTCTATTGCTTGCGGACTGGTGAGGTATAGGATGTCCACCACGTCTCCTTCCTCCCTCACCAGCTTCTCCACCTCCTCCACCTCATCCTCATTTAATTTATAGTTGTT